CTGACATTACGGATAGGCTAGCGCAACCAAAAAATTGGCTGCTGCAGCCAATTAAAAATGCTATGTCATATTTTATCATTTAATTTGCTGCAACAGCCAATCTTTTTTTTCAGTGTACATATACACTTTTTTTTAAATAGCTTTCAGTCTTATCCTAATTGTAGACAATAAAAAAATTTATGGATGCTAGACGATATGTAGACGATATATCTATACAGACGAGATATCTATATATATATATATCTCATCTGTATAGATATATCGTCACCATAGATACATCTATTGCACGCGTACTCGCGCGCACACACACACGCACGCACACACACACACACACACATTTTTAAAAATAAACAATATATGTATCCTATTTTAAAAGTCTCATATATACATCGAATTTATTGTGTCGTTTTTGATGCTGACTGGTCTTCTAATTGCTTTGATTACTTCATATAGCGAAAGTACACATTATTAGTGGAGGGATCGTATTTTGACAGCTCATAAAGGTTAAAAATCGTGATTGCGTGATTTATCTGTATATTATTTGTGTTCATGTACATTTGTACACTTATTTTTTGTATAATTATATAAGTATATAATATAAAAAAATAAATAGCGCGCGCGTAGTGCGCGTCTGTGTCTGTGTTGTCTATTATAGAACAAAAAGAATACAACAAAGCTAAGATTTGATGCTTTTTTTTGTTAATTGGCTGTCGCCAATTATTTATTTTATTCAAAATGATCAACTCAAGTAAATTGGTATTACCTATTGCGATGTGAGTAAAGTGCAAAAGCTAAAAATGGCGTTGAAATTGATCTCATTGTCGACCTTTTTACGGCCTGTTTCAGAATTCAAGAGAGAGCACTGTCGCGTCAACTATGATCGGCCATTCACATGTTACAAGTGCGGTAAGCGTTATACGTGGACAGACTCCTTGACGAGGCATTTACGCGAAGGATGCGGCGTATTACCGAAGCACATTTGCACGATTTGCGGCAGGAAATTCCGGCGCAAGGATTATTTACTACGCCACGAGAACCATCTTCATAAATAGGAAAATTTGTGTTCCCCTACA